TTCTATGCACCGCCAACATCGCCGACGGATGAAGAAGTTGCGGTGGGGGACCTCCTTGCATATATTACCAAGGTGGCCCGCGAGTTTCGCACACAGCGCTACGATGAAAACAATGCACCGCTCCTTTATGTCCGCATCCAAGTTGGGCAAGCGTCCAGCAACGCTTTGCTGGATCGCGGCGCGGCTCGCAGTTTCATGAGCCAGCCCTTAATACAAAGGGTTGGCCTCGGCGCACAAGTTGGAAGGAAGCCACATCCTACAACAGTCAAGATGGCGGATGGTCGGACGCAACAACTTCTTGATTGCTACATCGAAGCCACGGCGGTCTATTTCGCACCTCATGCATGCAAGCTGGTTACGTTTGATGTCTTGGACACGAACTTCGACATGATGTTGGGAATGCCTTGGCTCGCAAGTGCGGACCACACGGTCAACTTCCATCGGCGGACGCTCACCATTCGCGGCGCCTTTGGCGTCGAGGTGTTGTGTACCATTCCTCTTCCGCACCCTTCGATCTGGTGCCAAGTTGTAACGACCAAGTCTTTTGGGCCACTTGTGCTTACGAATGGATCGACGAGATCAGCCTATGTTTTCTTAGGACTGTCGCAACGACCGAGTCTTCACCTACGGACTTGTCTTCGCACATCCGCGTGGTGCGGTTGCTTGACGAGCTCACCAACATCTTCGATCCGGTGCCAAGTTGTGACGACCAAGTCTTTTGGGTCACTTGTGCTTACGAGCGGACCGATGAGATCAGCCTATGTTTTCTTAGGACCGTCGCAGCGGTCGAGTCTTCACCTATGGACTTGTCTTCGCACACCCGCGTGATGCGGTTGCTTGACGAGCTCACCAACATCTTCGATCCGGTGCCAAGTTGTGACAGTCAAGTCTTTTGGGCCACTTGTGCTTACGAGCGGACCGACGAGATCAGCCTACGTTTTCTTAGGACCGTCGCAGCAGTCGAGTCTTCACCTACGGACTTGTCTTCGCAAACCCGCGTGATGCGGTTGCTTGACGAGCTCACCAACATCTTTGAGTCTCTTACCAGTGTGGTGTTGGATCGGGCGATCTCCCATGAGATCATTCTTGACGCCGGTGTCGCGCCACCGAAAGGATGCATCTATCGCATGAGCGAGGAAGAGCTCGCGGTTTTCCACGCGCAACTCGATGACTTGTTGGACAAGGGTTGGATCCACCCTAGTAACTTACTCTACAGTGCGGCGGTTCTCTTCGTAAGGAAGAAGAACAAGGATCTTCGTTTATGCATTGACTATCGCGAGCTCAACGCTCAAACTGTCAAGAATGTGGGGKCTCTTCCTCGTATCGACGACCTTCTCGAACGTTTGGCCGGCGTGACATACTTTTTGAAGTTGGACTTGAAGTTGGGCTGTCATCAGATTTCGATACGCCCGCAAGATCGCTACAAATCCGCGTTTAAAACGCGGTATGGGCACTTTGAGTGGGTTGTCATGCCTTTTGGCCTCACCAATGCCCTGGTGCCCTTTCAAGCGGCAATGACCAATGAGTTTTGCGCAATGGTGGACTGGTTTGTGCTGGTCTACTTGGACGACATTCTCGTCTCTAGCCCGGCCTTGGAGGATCCCCTCGAGTACTTTCGACGCGCGACAAGTGTGAATTCGTACGTCAAGAGTTGGAATACTTGGGCCATTTTGTCACACTGGAAGGAATTAGTCCGTTATCGGACAAGATTGAAGCCGTCCAAGAGTGGCCAGAACCGAAGAATGTCACGGACGTCTGTTCGTTTCTCGGCCTAGCTGGCTACTTCTTCCTCACCTCCATCTTCGTCTCGCCTCTCCCCCATCTCTTCATCAGTGGTATTTCCCCCATGTGCATGTGTAAGGAGGGACCTTTCCTCCATGTATGTGGTCCCTCCTCCCTCTCTCACATGGGTGGTGTATGATGTGATGTCGCATCAGTCTCTGATAGGTCAGGTCATATCTTTGAGTCTTCCATTGCGCTACATTATGCTATTTTCATATGTGTCTGGATGTGCATTGCTTGTTGATGCTTTGCTGACACTGCATTGTCCATTTGAGTCCTTGTCATCACTTTGCGGACCCTTGGGTCCATATACATCGCTCAACTGAGCCTGTATCAACTCCCTCTTCAGTTTTGAAATCTGCAATAGAAATGGTTTTCCCTTTTGTAGGGTTTCTTACAGCCTTTTTTACAAACACTGACTTGCTCCTCAACGCCCTCTTTGCCATTTATTCCTTGCGAAGATTGTCCGGTTTCCATCCTCTGTCATGCCGATTGCAACACCTCCACAGTTACCTATCGTGGAAAAATGAGACAATAATGTCTTCCATTCGTGTCTGCGTCCGGCAACTTTGCCTCCCTGTTCCTATACATTTTCAGCAGTCACCCTTCCACACTATTCGTTTCTTTGTCAGTACCTTACAAACATGTTGTTACGATCCTGGTCATTTCCCAAGTGCAAATTCACAATGAAAGACAATGCCACCCAATTGCGAAAGAAATGAAAGCACTTGCAAGAGATAAAGACCAGAGGAGAGGTAAAGAAGAAGAAGAAGAAGAAGAAGAAGAAGAAGAAGAAGAAGTACACCAGCAAGACCAATGACAATTCCCCCTTCTCTCTCCACCTTCCTCCTTCCTCCTTCTCTTCACCAATCTTATTCTTCTCTCAACAATAATAATAACAATGAATGGATGAACCAGAATCAATGTCCGAAGTTCCCCCTTACTGCTGACTCAACTCACAACAACAACAACAACAACAAGTCCACCATGGCTATGTCTTCCTTCCTTCAACCTCTTCTCTCAAGCATGGGTCATGGCGGACTACTGGAAGGCCAGCTATGATGCTGCCCTGATGCCCGAAAGACAACTCAAAGCAGCTATGTCGCTGCTTGACTTGGTCCGCTATGCCTGACCCTGCCTCGAGCTGCCCTGGTGCAGCATTACCCCAACTGGGGCCTTCCAGATGCAGCGCCCAACAAGGTAATGAAGACGGTGTCCACCATAGCCAGGTAAGTGCCCTACCACTCTCCTACGATGTCCCCCTTCTTCCTCCTTCAAGCTGGGGTGCTCGCCATAGCCAGGCTGAGCCCCAGCAGACCTTCACCTCCAAGCAGCGCTGCCTCAGAGCAGCACTGCACTCCAGCAGCATGTCGCCAATCCTTGCATACCGCAAATGAGGAAGAGCTTACCGCTCTTCCTGAAGATATAGCGGCCGACCGGCCTCCTGGGCGGTGACTTCCTAGGCCAAGCGGCCCACTGGCCTCCTGGGCGGTGACTTCCTAGGCCAAGCGGCCTCCCAGCAACCGGTACCTCCTCCCTTTTGGAGGGAAACATCATTGCAGGCTCTGTTATTGTCCACACAGGCCCTAGACCCGGGCTACTTGGACTGGTACCGGCCTACCTCTAACCTACCGCTACTGGGCCTCTAAAAATGCCAACTTTTTGTCTTCTTCTGCTCGGCCTACCTGCTACTTGAGTGTTTTTCCCCAGCTGCTCTAAGTGCCGTGGGCCTACTCCCCGCTACCGGCATGTTTACCCCCCTGCAACCCTTCAAAGTCACGGCCACAGGTAAGTTCCGGCCCGGTGGGCCTTGCAACCAACAAGTACCCTGGCGGGTCACACACATACCCAACCAGCAAGCACTCAGACAGGCATGCAACCCAACAGGCACGCACACACGCACAACCGGCAAGCGCTCAGACAGGCATGCAAACCAGCAGGCACGCACACACACACAGACTTGGGACCACAGCAGAATGCGGGAATCACAACAAGGCATTCATTCCATTGACAAATCCCAGAAATCAGCAGTGTTCTCAGTCTGTGTTTTGGGCGGGTCATTACACATGTATTCTTTACAGGCACTCAGCAATTCTGTAACTCTTTTAAACGTGTGCTAACTTTTATTGCTGGTTCATGGATCCATACATCTGAAGATTACCCTGCACCGCCTTCTCCTAATTCAACTTATTCTCCTTTCCCTACTCTTCTTTTTATTCGAGTTTTTTTTTTGCAAAATAATTGGTCCTCGTCATTGTCATTTGCTGTTACTTCGGCGTTTCCAAATGTGATAGCAATCACGGTGCAGGTGAGCTGTCCACTTTCAAAACTCCATCCCTCGGTGACTTCGCCTTCTTAATTTCCCGATTTTCTTCCCCTGGACCCCTGTTGAAATAATGGTTATGTATCTGGCCTTGCCCATTATGCTCGAATGCATGTCAAATAACTGTCTCAAACCATCAACCACAGCCCTCAGACATTACCTTGAACTTGTCATTTCATCTTATATTTTCTATCCCTGACCACCCTTATCCCCCCTCTCCCTGTGATTTTGTCATCAACATACTCCTTTTTTACACGAGCGAAGCAGCGCTGGCACTCGTTGTCTAATTCAATTACGTGCATGTAAGGAGAGTTGGAATTGAGGTCAAGTGAACATATGCCTTGGGGGTTAGCCTTGCCTCCCTCAGACCCCTGTTGAAACAATGGTTCCTTATCTGACCTTGCCCCAGTTCTCTGTTTATTATTATGGCCTCAGAGTGCGACTTAGTGCTCAGGAGACCCTTAATTTTGCAATGGGTGCCTTTCACAGTCCACAGTGGCTTGTGGGAGGATCCATGGAGGTCAAACACTGGGGAGCTGTAAATCTTGGAAATAAAGATAAGATTGAATGGTGAACAACCCAGAATAGTTATCATATTAGTAAATTAGTCTGCTCTCGACCACAAGCTCAACTGGCAATGCTGAACCGGGAGATTGAGGAGACAACCTTAGGCAAAGGCAAGCCCACTGGTCTTAGTCCCGTGCTGTCAATTATATACCTCAATGGATGTGATCGAGTCCATGAATCATATTCTACTTGATAGCACAACGCAGAGAGTCTTGCTCAAGAGATGTTTCCCATTCTGGCACTGGACTTGTACGCCTTTGTGGCATCTGAAGTATTCATGGAACATTGTTTCACATAGTGGCAAATGGGTGCGTGTGTGGCCATGCAGGAGGCTGAACTATCTAAAGAGGCCCAAGAGCTGCATGTTAGAGTGGGGCTGCTCGAGGATGATCACGTCACAATGCGTGAATTTGAGGAAATGCATTCTGTCAAGGCATCCAACATGGACATCCCAGGTGGGGAGGAAACCAGCAAAAGGGATCATATTGCTGAGGAGCTGACGTTGTTGGTCCCTCAGTTGGAGAAAGAGAAAGCTGAGCTTGAAGCTAGACGTGATGAACTCGAAATGGAGATAGCCAACCTCGTAGAATTGCAGAGGAAGGAGAGAGAGTTGAGAGTGATGACTGAGAAAGAGAGAGATGATAGGGTGGTAGAGGTAGAGGAGCTGAAGAGTGCGATGTCGGAGAAAGGGTCAGTTATTGTGGCGTTAATGACGAAGCTGGAAGGGAATGCAAAGGCTATGGTAGCACGTCAAGAAGAGGTAGATGGACTCCAGGTGAGGATCGAGGAGATGGAGGAGGAACGGAAAATTGTTGATGAAGAGCTGAAGGTTCTGAAGGAAGAGATGGCCAAGGAGAGGAGCCTGCAGGAACTGAACAGTCCAAAGGACATGGAAATTGCTGTAAGGGAGGCAAGGATGAAGCTTGAAGAGGAGCGTAAAGCAAGGCATGCTGCCGAAATTGGTCGGGATGAGCTAGCATTGGAGCTATCATCTCTCCAAAAGGACATGGAAGAAGCTCAGAACACAATAAAAATGTTAATGACTGAGCAGTCGCTCTTTATGGCTGAACAATTTTCTCCTCGAATATTGGGGGACAGAATGGGTCGTCGCGTTTCCTGTGGAATGCCAATGCATTCTCAGCGAAATGAGTTGAGGGAGGCAAAGGCAGAGGCAAGAGAAGCGGAAGAGAGAGAGAGTTTTTTAAGAAACGAACTGCGGAGAACTCTGCAGCTGTTAGAGGTAAAAGAGAAGGAAATCGGGCAAATCCAGGGCTGTGACAAGGACTCCGAGAGGGACCTCTGTGGGTTCGTGTCTGAAACACATGGGAGGATGAGCAGCCTCGAGGGACAAAAACAGATTGCAGGTGGAAAAGGGAGATTGCAGGCAGATGTTTCGGCTTTTATGCAGGAGAAGGCTAAAGATGAGGTAAAGATTGCTGTAAAAGAGACTCAGACAGATCCGTTACTGTCCCAGGAAAAGATAGCTGAGAACCTGGAGGTCTTGCAAATGGAGCTGGAAAGAGCTCGAGAGAGTGCAGCTATGGCAGAGGCACGTGCAGAAGATGCTTGCAAAAGCAAGTTGTCTGCTGAGCTGGAAGTGGAATGGTTAACAGACCAGATGCGGAATGCTGAACAGAAGCTAGCAGACGAAGAGAGGTCGAAGAAGAATTTGCGAAGTGTTATCTTCCATCTCAGAGCATTGTGCAATGATGGTGATGATCCCGTTAGTGCAGAGGACCAAGATGATGATGCAGTGTGGCTAGTGGAGATGGTTAGAGAGAAAATGGACAGGCTAAAGAATGAGGTAGCGATTATGAGCCAGAAGAAGCAGGATTGGGAAATTTATGAAGAACGGAAGAAAAATGAGCTGGAGGCTTTGATGGCTAGAATCTGTGCTTTGCAGACGGATCTTGTGGATGTGGAGCTGAGAGCGAGCCTTGCAGAAGATCTTGCAAGGAGAGAGCAGGCAAGAGCCTCCAAACTTGAGGAGGAGGTTGCAAAGGCGGATGTGTGGAAGGTTTCGTTGGATGCCCATGTTGAGGAGATTGATCACATGAGACTGTCTGTGAAGGAGGATGGAGAGGAGAAGAAGTCCGGTTGGAAGGGATTGGCCCACTCACTTTCGAAAATAGGGAAGAAGGACAAGTCGTTTGAGAAGCTTAAGGTGATGATTGTCTCAGCGAAGCAGGAAGCAAGGAGGGTTGAAGAGATCAAGGAAAAGGAGGTAAAGGCGGCCATACAGAGGGCGGAAACTGCAGAAAGAGAGATGGCTATTGCTCATGCGTCAAAGAAAAAGAAGGAAATTGAGCTGCAAGTCCTCTTATCACAAGTCGAAGACCTGAGAAGCGAACTTCGGAAGAAAGTTTCTGAAATTTGTGTGTTGAGGAATGCATCCAATGACTCTTCCAGCCTAGGTCCGTCGTGTTTGAAGAGTGAGGAATCAAGCATTAGTGAGAAATTGCATTCTTTGGAGGAGGAGCTTGAGACAGAAAGACGAAAGACAGGAGTGCTTGAGATGGAGCTGGACGAGATGAGAGCAACTGCCTTGGATGCAGAGCTTGTGAGGAGAGAGGCAGAAGCAATGGTGGGGAGGGAAAAAGCTTTGAAAGGTGAACTGGTGGCCAAGACGAAGAGGATAGAGGAATTGGAGCTGGAGATGGTGGATCTGAGAGCTGTAGTAGGGGAAATCGAGGAAATAAGTCTTGATCAGGAGAAAATGGTTGAGAGGGAAAAAGCACTGGAGGAGAAATTGGAAAGCAAGTGCAGGAGGGTTGAGGAACTAGAACACATCCTAGCTGCCAAGGAGGAAGGCAGGCGAAATGATCAGAATCAACTTGGCAATTGGGGAAAGCTGCTGATGGAGTTGACTGACACCCAGGAAGAGAGAAATAGAGCAATGGCGGATCGGGAAGCTCTCAGAAGAGAACTTGAAGTTGTTACGGCTCAGGCTAAAGAGAGGGAATTCATTGCAATGGAAGCGCAGGAGGTAAGAGAACTCTCAGGTGTCCTGTGCAAGGTAAATGATTTCCTCCTGCCTCTTTCACTAAGATACGATCACAATGGCTGCAGAGATGACCACTCAGAGAGCTACTGACCAATACCATACACGTTCTCAAGTACAATTTCATAGCAAAACAATGGCATGACAATCCCCACTTGCTACCAGAGGATGGAGAAGGAAAGACAGCTACGCAACAGGCACAACTTACAGAACCACAAAGAAATTGAAAACACTTGTGAACTCAGGCCTCAGCTGCAGGACCGTGGAGGGAAACATGCACTGCAGGTTGAAGAGGGTGGTCAGGAAACATCTCTCATGGCCAACAATGTGAAGTTGCCCTGCACTCTGTCCATGCTTCTGAAGCTGGGTTGGTGAGATCTGTGTTGTCCAAAATTGCCCTAATGAGCAATTCAGGGTGCTACTTCACCCACTGTGCATCCTCTAACTCGGTTTCTGTGCTGTGACGGAAGGGTTGCGGCTCATGTCTCATGCCCGCTCATCTTTCATATCTTTCTAATACCATCACTGTCACAAGCCTGTCTTTATGAGCTTTGCTTATATTGTTACTGATGCCCAGCTGTTACCAATTGTCGTCCTCCCTCCTCTCTCCTTCTGCCTCCTCCTTGCCCACCCGTGCTCCTCACCCTCCTTTTCCCTTTTCCACCCGTCTCACCCTCTTACGGCTCTGCCCCCGTCATCATTTACTGTCTCCACCGTCAGGCAAGATCACATTCTGTGCATGTGTCAATCGAGGTCAACATTAGAGTCAACACTTTGTTTTTTGGAGGAAAAAAGTGACCATCACCATCACCATCACCATCAGTGCCGTCATGATAATTGCTCCCCTCTAGTGCTGAGCGCACTGCACGTTGAAGCTGCTTTGTCTATGCCCGTCACAATAGGCAAGTGCACGGGCATTGCGTCTTTTTGTCTTTTCCTTCCAGTTTGCATTGGATCACTTAATTCGTCACTCCATGCACATGCACAATGAGAGTTTACACGAAGTCCACAGTGGAGACCAGAGATGAAATGTACAGATTAGCGCAGCTTAGAAATTCCAACGAATTATCTATTAAACAGTTTCGGAGATCCAGTCACCAAGCGCTCGTCAGCGCAGAATTCAGCAACCCAAAATTCCAGCATCCTCATCCATGTAGGTGGCTCTCCATCTCTGTCTCACTTTTCCTCTTGCCTGAGTCCTCTCTCTCTCTCTCTCTCTCATCTCATGTGTTACCTCCCTCCCTCCCTCCCTCCCTCCCTCCCTCCCTCTCTCTCTCTCTCTCTCTCTCTCTCTCTCTCTCTCTCTCT